TTTGTAAATTCTTCTTTTTAGGTGAAACTCTGCTTTGATGGCAAGAAATGGGATCTTTTGAACGACACGATACTTACTTTATCAAAGAAGCGTCTGATTATCAAAGTGGCAATCGCGAAAATGGTAAGAAATATTGTCATTTCATATGTTTGCTGGTTCCGATCCAGCGCTTCTTGAGAGTCATCTATTGTGAGTTTTGGATGTGACTTACGAATTTTGGTCAGCCAGTAAGCCGTGCATTACTGAGTCAACTTAAAACTGCTCTCTTTATTGATTCATTTTTGATATTCAGTTTCTCGTCGAAGCGAAATTTCAGAACATTAGTTCATTAGTAAATGGGTAGGGATAATAGAGGGTAGAGGGTATCTTCTGTTGTGTACTTCCATTTTGGTTGGTTTATTCAATTGGAATATTCGGTGGATCGCACTGAATCCAGAATTACCAGTACTTTCATTATCCTATAACTAGTTTTGAATTTTACTTATTTATAGTTTGTGTGTTGTAGGTCCGTGATGCTTGTGAAATGGTAGAGAAGATGCCGAATGAGGAGACTAAGATGAAGCTTGTTGACACTCTGCGCACTGTAACTGCCGGGAAGGCGAGTTTTTAACTTTCTTTGTGGCTTTTTCAGTTTATTTCAAGTTTACTTATTGTGAAACTCATTTTTGTGCTGTGTCACATTTCGCGTGAAGCTATAAAAGTCATTCCATAGTTATAGATCTATGTGGAAGTGGAAAGGGCTCGTCTGACTTCTCTCGTAGTTAGGAAAATGGAGGCGGAAGGTAAAATAGAAGAGGCGGCTAATCTCATCCTTGGAGCTCCAGGTTGAAACTTATGGTTCAATGGAGATCAAGGAGAAGGTTAGCCAGTACAAGTGCATTCGCCAAAGTTTCAAATATCGGAACTGGTATTATCATGGTGCTTTCAGGTCGAATTCCTCCTAGAACAGATGCGATTGTCTGTTGCCCGCGCTGATTATATCCGAGCCGCAATTATTTCTAACAAAATTAGCACAAAGTTCTTCAACAGCGACAAAGAGGATGTCAGTTCATAAAGAAAGCTCTTTGATGGCGCTATCCTTGACGCTTCATCGTAATGAAGTTCACCTTTATTTCTAGGTTCAAGACTTGAAAATTCGTTTCTATAACTTGATGATTACTATTGGACTTCAAGACTCGAAATACTTGGATGTTTGCAGACACTACAGGTAAATTTGTCTTCTGGGGTCCTACTGGGTTGTTTCCTTGTTTTCCTTTTTTGAATTGCTGTTTCTTGAGTTTTTTTTTTGAGTTCTCATTTTTCAGAGCACTTTTTGACACTCCTAAAATTGCGGCCGATACTGAGAAGTCTCGATTAGTATGGTTTCGTTCTATGATTGGTTCTCTGTTATTTGTTTAGATTGACCGTTGCTTTCAGGTTCTGAAGTGTGCTGTTATTTACTGTCTGTTGGCTCCGCATACAAATGAGCAGTGGGATCTCCTGAATCGCATCTCTTTGCTTCGAGAACTAGAACTTGTTCCGGAGTACAGGGTAGGTTATATTATATTTATGCATATTTATATTGTATGGCAGGTGTGAGCCGCAGTCTCATTTTTCCAAACCATTACACGCTCTCTTTTGCTTTCAATTATTTGTGGATTACATTTTTGACCAAACTGATGCTTACCGATTTTTTTAAACACGTTCAGACGTTTGTTGGAACTATTCATCAATCAAGAATTGATTTCCTGGAAAAATGTCATTGTACGAGTTTACGAGAAGACGTTGAAGAAAGCACCAAATGGAACCGGAGTGAGTTCTCTTTTTTTACGTTTCTTTCTGCTCTTTTTGAGCACCTTTCATAGAATTCCTTTCATCTGGCGCTGGAACTTTTCGCTACGCTTTTCAGTTTCACATTATCATACTTGGAACAGGTGCGGGTCAGAAGATGCGTGTGGCGGCGGATTGCCACGCTACCTGCTGACTCATTTTCTTTTAGATAATAGTGCGTGCGCCACGTGCGCGAAGCCACTTGCTATAGTAGTTCTGTCGACGTGCCTAAACAGCACACAGGCTTAAGTTTGAGGTACTAATATACCCACCTGATTGATTTCGTGGTCAGAAAATTTCTGGAACTCGCACTTAAATCGAGGGAACAGACACTGGTGTCAAAATTTACGATGGGTGTAAAGACAGACCGATCGCTTATGCACGGCTTGCCTTTCCCACAACCCATTTTGCAATAATTAGGTCGCTTTATGTGCCAGTCTCACGTCTCTGTATTCAGATTTTCGATGGAAAGGATGGAGAAAAGCGATGGAAGGACCTACACATGAGAGTTGGAGAACATGTTAGTGTTTTTGAAAATTGTTGGAATAACTTGTGGCAGAATTTCAGAGCATGAAGCAGAATCCTGAGACTATCATTCTTTTTTTTAATAATCGTCTTCCAAAAGTCGGTTTGAAAAAATAGGGAGTATGCATTTTAGACTTAGAGGAATACTTACAGAATATGCGTATGATCTCGAAGTACTACACCCAGATCACTTTCGATCGTCTAGCAGAATTACTCGATTTCCCACTCAATGTATGTCCTTGTAGTTATTAAACTTACTGTAATTTTGTTCACTATGTGGTTAGATTAACTGATTTTAGGACATGGAGTCATTCCTGTGCAACCTAATTGTGACTGGTGCAATTTCTGATGCCAAGATCCACCGCCCGTCTAGAGTTGTGAACCTGCGAGCACGTAAAGCCAACCTTGAACAACTGGACCAATGGGCAAGCAATGTTCAGAAGCTTACTGAGACTTTGAACAAGGTGAGCATGTCTCCTTAAGCTCCCCAGAGGGGGTTGGTTTCAATTATGTTGCATTTTTTTTATTCTTGATTGTTCGGGTGATCGATTTTCACTTTGCTACCTCGAAGTTACCTGTGTTTCGCTCCAACATTATAACGCTTGCGTATGAGGAACGTTGAAACTGTTACTTTGTTCCTCTTGCAAATTCCTGGGTGCAGGCGAACCCAACAGTTATGCAGCATTGTTATCACAAGATTACATAGGCCAAGTGGTGGACTGACGTTAATAGCCTGTTGATATCAAGTGAATGGGCGGCGGCATTTTTGTCGAGTGATTCTATTTTAGACTCAAATTGCGAGCAATAGATAATGTTAGTGATAGCGAAAGCAAAGAAATTCAAAAATGTTGAGGAATGGCTGTGTGTGGGATAAAAGTAATCTACAAAGGGATCAAACCATATGAATACCGGCATTTGTAGGCTTTGTAGTCTTGTGTGGGTTTGGAAGTTTGATAGTTTTTTATTAGTCACATATGTGTTTTGGTTTGGATTTTTTCGCTATTTACAACACTGTTTATTTCGCCATGTTGTGATGTGTAGGTTTCTTCCTTTCTCGTACTTCTACTTGCTGTAAGCAAGGTTACCTGTAGATCAAATGCAATGGTCCGGTTTGGTAATAAGAATACGCAGTTTATACTGGGATTCAAGCAGAGTAAATTCGATACAGGTGTTACTGAGGAACGAGATTAATGGGAGGCGCACGAGGTCTTTAGTTGTGCTGCCAGACGCCGGAGGGCGGTGGTCATAGAAAGTCACTGGTAGCGCACTATATACACTACTCTACTATACACGATAGCATTGAGACCCCCACGCTAATTGCCGCGGAAATCCATCCACTGTTGTAATTTTATCTTAAACAGTTTGTAATTAAGTGATGATTTCACGGGCTGGATTGGTTCCGAAACCCGCGCTTTCTGTTAAAATAATGGTTTAACTTCAGTAGACAAAGGCTTTAAAGCAACAGTTCAGGGAGGGTCCGAAAATTTCAATGCCACTACTACTGAGGGATACACGAGCCCTAGTGAAGAACATATGCAGTGGAAATAATAAACGAACTTACCTCAGAAACTCAAAAACAGGGTGGAAAGTCCCTCAAACATGGGTGTTCTTGGGGATTTCCCCAATCCCGCCCCCTTGCCGGCCGTCATTGGACGCGTCGGCAATCGTGCTCGTTTTGGGACCACAGGGAAAATTGATTGAAAAATGGAGCGCGTTTACAGCGGGCACGTTCAGACAACTCGTCCAACGTGCGTCTTTATCCATTGCTGAGCGGCAGAGGGAGAGTACCTGTCTAAGACCCTCCCCGACGTTTTTTTCCAGTTTTTCATACATTAATCGTCTGGTTTTCATCTACAACTTCATTATTGGTGGTTTTTTCCCGCGAAACCGTTCCTGAACTGTTGCTTTAAACTTCATTCGTCTTATGCGTAACGAGGTCATAATGAGTGAAGTAAACCGCAATAATGCTCGTATATGTAGATCAAATGCAATGGTCCGGTTTGGTAATAAGAATACGCAGTTATGGATACTGGGATTCAAGCAGTGTCGAATCGATACAGGGCTTGTTTACTGAAGATGAAGTTGGTGGGGGAGCGCATGCGCGAAGCCTTCAGTCGTGTTGTCGGACTGCTGCAGGGCGGTGGTCATAGAAAGTCACTGGTAGCGCACTCACCAGTTCTATACAATAGAATTGAGACCCCCACGCCAATTGCCGAGGAAATCCATCGACTGTCGTAATTTTATCTCAAATAGTTTGTAATTAAGTGATGATTTCACGGGCTGGATTGGTTTCGAAACCCGCGCTTTCTGCGATTAAAATAATGGTTTAACTTCAGCAGCACAATTAGGCTTTGAAAGTTCTTCGTTCTTATCGTAAGGTCTATAATGGTGCGTCAATAATGGCTCGTGAGGGTTCATGCATTTTTGTGTTTATCAGTAGCAATCCTCTAAGGTTTATGGTCGCATTTAATAGCTCTCGTCGTCCAAAGGCCAAGAAGTTACCGCTAATTCTTTTGAAGTGTAGATTGCTACCTTCTGCTTTTACTAATTCATTTAGTTTTTGTTGTTTTCTTTCAAATCACAGGGATACTTTTGTTTAGGTGTCTCACTTGATCCTGAAAGAACAGATGGTGCATCGAAATTTGGAAGCGATGCAGATCAACTGAAGTCCTCAAATAGCGCCTCAACAATTTCGAAAACGGTTTAATGATGAATTCTAATTTGATCTTTTGTTTGTGTTCTGAGAAGTTCTCAGTAGCATGTGTGTTTCGTTAAAAGGCGCATGTAATTAAATAAATACGGTATTTATTGAGTTTTTTGTATGAATGAATAATTGTGATCGATGTTTTGTTGTGTTCGAGGTGCTTTTAGCTAGTTGCAAGGCTATGTCACTACGCTGGATTGAACTCGAAAACGAATATCGCTAGAGAAACAAGACTGTTGGTGTTCCATCTAAAATGGGTCAGGGTGGAGAAGGCCAGCGAATCGTCGGGAAGGGAAGGAGGTGGGATTCTTCAGAGATTCGCATCCTTGACGCTATGGTATGTTATCTTAAAGGTGAGCATATTCGCAGTAGTTGGGCATTTGGGTATGGATTGCAGTCCTACTGAGTATGACGAGTGGTTCATCGTCTTTCTTCGAATTTTTTTTATCTGATTTGGAGTTGAGCCCTTCAAAAATTTTTCTTGGGCTTTTTGCGGCGGGGGTTAAATTTGGATCTGCATTCTTACGCCTGGGTCAATGTTATCAAAGAGGCAAACTCCGGAGACAAGTTCCGTTGTGGCGGTGCCCAGACTGACCCGAAACACCTGCTACTGGCTGTGATACAGCGGCAAGTCTCAACAACGAGCTGTGGATTAATTCACTGCCTACTAAAGCCCCTCATTAACGAGTAAGTTACGTTAGTAGATTCTCGTAACTTTCTAGGGTACATTTTTGTATCCAGCAGCGCTATGAATCAAGGGGCACAGGTTCGTTTATTATTCCCCTTCCTTTACAATATTATATGAGTTTGGCATATATTGTTCTGCTTTTTAGTGTCACTACTGGTACTGGAACTAGCACCATTTTAGCTGCCCACTGAAGCCACGATTGAGAGCCACAAATTAAAATAAATAAACAAATAAATAAATAAATAAATATTCAGAGACACACCTCAGTGTCGAACTACTGTGGTTCTTGTCATGGAGATGGATCAACGGTGCGAATTTGGCCAGCAGAGAAAAAGAAAAAAACGTATAGAGAACGTTGAAGGTAACGACCTAATCGAATATTGATTAGGTTGTGCTAAGGCAACGAGGGACTCAGCATAGACGAGAGAGGACAAGCGAGAGAGTACAAAAATTGAGACATTGCCAGACACCAGCACGCCACGGAGGACAACAAAACTGAAGCGGTTGAAGCGGTCTTTGCATGGTCGTAGCGCCCTTTTGCGTGGGTCATAGCCGAAAGTACAGGGCATTTGCGATCTTCATAAGCAGCTCGATCCTGTCCACTGGAAAGGTGCCTGAACACCGTCTGAACTCGTCCGAAGCTGTGCCTTCAAGACCGGTGCAGGTGCTACAGCCTAGACATCTGTCTAAATTCGACCAAATTTTCACGCATTGGCTATTTACCAACTTTGCGAGTTGCTCCTCAGTTCACTCATATCACGCTTGGGCGGAAATGTCTAACCTTGGCTGTAGACGTCACCTTAACCTTACTCGTAGCTGATTCGGCCAGTCCTTGTCAAGAAAGTATACTTCATATGAGTAGTCTGCTCATTAGCAATGCTCTTATTTTCAGCGTTACCAGCATTGTTGTCCGTATTCTTAGCGTTAGGGAGGCAGGGCTCCATAGAGTTTGCCTCCTCTCAATAATTTGGTTTCATTTTTTTTAGTCTAAAACATGACCTATACCGTAAGTGGATACTTGTACAGTACCTGCGGACTGGAAATTTCACATCTCTCATCTGGCAACACTTATTTATTAGTAACCACGCTACCCATTCTAGAGCCCGTAGTGCTACCCAACCCTGACCTAACCCAATCATCATAGCAGTCATGTGGTGGAGTAAAGGAACAGTGAGTGGTGCCATAATTCTCAATTCTCTTCTGGGATACCAATATAGATGTCCCATAAAAAACACATAAAACGCTCTGCTAAACGATAAGAAGAGTGTGCCCATATTGGGTGAAGGCAGTACGTGGCGAGGCGCTCTCGCGTCTCCAACCGTTCAATCATGGCACAAATTGATATTAGTACGTTCTGCAGCACAGTCTAGGATACGGTAGCGTTTCCGTTGCAGGACCAATTATTCTATATCTATATTACAGGACCAGAAAATGAGCTCCAAACGCGCAATCGGATTATTTCCAATCAACTCAAGGTGAAGAGGAACTTTATAGACTATTGGATTGATTTCTTGTCTTTTTTGTTTGCTTTTCCTGATTATTTTTTTCTCTGTCATCTCTCCGACTCTCTTTTCATTTCATTTTTTCTGTGCTTGCCACTCGCCTTTTTTCCCCCCATAACTTTGTGTGCATTCAGTGGTGTGGCTATCAGGCCATACCTGCTGCTTTCATGGCTTGTCATACTAATTTGCTCTTTCTTTCTTCTTTCTTGTTCCCCTCTCTATCCTTCTACGTTTCTGAACTCTCAGTCTTCGCATTCTCTTCGGAACGCTCAAAAGACGAAACCTCTTCTCCGTTCTTTCCACGCTCCTGATTCCTATTGACGCTAGACTTTTGTTCGTGCGTCCATCTTCTCCTTGTCTCGTCATTTTCTTGATTGTTCCGCTGCTTACCTGTAACCACTCTTATTTCCTTTTTCATTATTTATTACTTCTATCTTACTTTTTTCAATTTCTAGTTCTGCTCACCTGACCTATGCAGAAATGATAAAGGATTAAATGTCAGCATTAACCAGTCCCTATTAGGATGCGCCACGCATTCTACTTCCATTCGGAACCTCTACTACCTCCACTCAGAATCACAGTGAACCTTTCAATGGATTTGACCTTTGCAATGATTTGCGGAGTCAGCATCGCTGCAATTTCAGCTGATTCTTTTTTCTATATAGCCTGGAGAATCATCTTTTACCTCCCAGGAACCATGTCGAGCTGGGCGGGATTGGGGCCTAGGACTTGACCACGGGGACCAGTGCTGCTGTTGAGGGCTCCAGCTTTGTTACTACAGCACTTGAGCTTACTATAAGCTATCAATATTCGCAGAGATTAGCAATCTCGATGATTTGCAATAGATGCTCGCTTTTTTCTGACATACCCCAGTCACAACTGAACAGCACTGCCTTCAGTGACCGCTTAGAAAAACCACCCCTCGTATTCTCCCTAGCCTGTACCGCAATGGGTGTGGAGCGTCTGTTCCTTGCAGTTTATTGGGCGCAGAAGAGTACGAGCGCACGCGTTGGTTCACATACAGCCTTCGTTTCAGCGTAGCGTCTTCGTTGAAATTCTTAGAGAGATGAGCCATGGTGTTGCGACTAAACTCACTGGGCGTCCATGGCGGCCGTTTCGTTAAGGAAATTCGGTCTCCTAACTACTGCTATTGGTCTGGTTTATCTTCATGCTACAGTAGGCTTACTAGAAGGCTGTTACGCGCGGCGAGACATGGTGTGGTTGCAGACCCAGTACCACACTTGGCAACGGCTTCTGGAAATCAATATCACGGGTTTTTGATGCTCTTGATGCCATCTAATGTCACGTGTGCGTTTCTAGAGCAAAGCTCACAATGCGAAAGAATTTGAGGAATAAAGTATATTTATTCTATGTGACTTATTTAGGATCGTGACAATTGCATTGTACTTAAAATTGACACTCAAATGACTTCCGTACAAGATTGCTCACCGTTCGGTTTCCATTTTGAACTCGACAAGAAGAGATATCATGAGCGAAAGAAGCAAATCAGACGTCAAAGTGAGTTTCATTTGTTTTACGTTGAAGTACGGACTGCCATACTTGGCCGAAGCCGTTTGGAAAAGTTGGAGACCGCGCGGCGCGCGGATATCGATTTCGTGGCGCGCGCGGTGACTCACGCGACGGGGGGAGCAAAAGACTCGATTTACCGCTCCCTTCGTTAAGAAAATACAGAACTCTGGACGCAGTGATCGATTTTTTAGCGAGCTAATAAGTTATACGAGTCCAGCTGTGGCACAACTGAAAGTTTATCGATTTTATCTGTGGATTTATTTAGAAATAACTCAATGGTTCTCATGGTTAGCATATTATCATCATAAATTCGGTATTCGACATATATTTCTCGTCCTGTTATTGACTGTTTTTGTTTTTATTGGTGGTGCTATATTCTACCGACTTGAATCTCCGAATGAAATTACTGTGAGTTCAACTTGTCGAGTAGTGATGGCGAAGGGATGGCGTCCACAAAACCTGTCACTCGAGCGCGCGGTTGCGAAGCGGTCGCATAGGTGGCTTGCTCTCAAGTAATCTTTTGTTTAGGATCTCAAGGAGACAATTGTTCTCATGCAGGGAATAATTGCCGAAACAACTGTAGACGTGATTAATATTACTTTATCATATAATGGAACAACAAGAGACGAAAAGCTCACCAGATTATTAAAGGTACATTTCAACACTTTTTTAAAACCAATCTTGCTTTTGATATGAATAGATCGAGATGGGTAACACCTTTGACATAAGCCATGCAACTGTGTCTTGTTTGATAAGTTGTAGAAGCGATTGATAGTGTCTTCATGCTTCGCATTGGACTGCTAAAACAGTTTTTAAGCATTTTCAGGAAGGATAACTGATCCCAAAACATCGCAGATATAGCTGACCTGGTCAGTCATCTGCTGGTAACTTACCAACGGGGAAGAGGGGCGGGGGTGGGGGTCGTATTTCAGACATTCGGAAGGGGAGTAAGCAAACCAGCCCGTTTGGCGTTTCTGCTGGGGCCGTATGCTTGAGTGTGTGGGAGGGATGGGTTCTCTCGACGGTCAACGTGCTACTTTCAAACTCGTCCTAAGACCGCCTCAATTTGATGCTTACCTCAGGACTAGTCCTCAAAAAGAGGACGGACATGCGAGAGAGCGCAGGTCCGCCCTCTCTCCAAGGCTTAGTCCTGGGGTGAGCAAACCAGCCCCTTTGGCGGAGCTGCTGGACCTAGCTGCACCACTTCGTCATCACTCTCCTACCGTACCGACCGAGTTCAAGTAGTCCGTCGAGCTCGGGGACCCCATCTCCTCCCCAACATTCAGCATATGGCCCCAGCAGAAACGCTAAAGGGCTGGTTTGCCCCGTCGGAATGGGAGGTTGATTCTCTGGCTTGCACGTTTGTGGACTGTGATAGCTGTTGCAAGGTTTTCAAGGGATGTCGTAATGAGAATTTTTGCGGGGTCATGCAGAAACGGAGGGGGTTATAGGGTCATTTTTGACAGTTTCGACAATATGGCGAAATTTTTACAAGAAAAAGGCTCGAAGTAGGCGGACATGAAGCATTTCCCCTATTTACTCGTGATATCCCCACCCAAATTCTTCTTTCCCTTCACGTCTCTGTACCTTTTCCCCATTCCCACTCGACGGCTGTTTTGGTGGAATATTGTATGTGAAGCTGAAATGAATCGTCCCGAAATACTGTAGAAGTGGGCGAAGATGGTCATGAGCTCGCGTCAGGGGTATTTGTAGTGACTGCTCCACATGGGTGAGGATGAGGGGGTCCTAAACGGGGACCCACCTAAAAGAAGGTCGCAAAATTCCAATTTTTTTACGACGTTATCGTCCAGATAATTCAAGTAGTTTTAACCCTTCTGATCGTGAGATCGCGTTAATCGGCACAGACTCGCCTGGAAAACTAGTCATCTTATAGTCCTAATCGCGTTTGAAGTGCCGATACGATTCTGAATGAAAGTTGAATTTCAAGAGAGGACTGATTAGCCCCATTATTCATCCTTTTATCCTTTTGCTTCTTTATCCAATTTTTGTATCGTTCAGAATTACTACAAAACGATGCTGATGGCAGAAGATCGCTTTCGCGGCAGTGTTTGGCACAAAGCAGAAAATCTTGACTGCACCTGATGTGGTACTACTCAAGTGCGACGTTCTATGCGATGACACTATTCACTACCATCGGTTACGGTAGCGTAAAAGTTTAAAGCAAAACTTAGTCCACCGTAGAACTCGTCCAAGGTGAAGGCGTGTGTGGGTTACGAGGCTCACCACGCGGCTGGGCGCGCAGAGATGCAGAAGGACTGAAGCACACGAGCATCTTCCACAGGGCGTCCAGGGCCGCTTGCGACCCCGCGACCATCGCGTGGTGGACCTGTTGACCAGCGCGCTGTGAAGAGCTTCCTGGGATCTATTCCAGTTAGGGGGCATGCGATTTAAAGCGCTCAACAAGTTCAAAACCACGGATGGCATACTCTCCTAGGTGCTAACTTAAGGTGGGGGGGCACGCGGCGGCGCGGCAGTCTGCTCGCCTGGCATGTTAGGAAATCCGCGGGGCAGGGGGAGTGTAGGCAGTCTAGGGGGGGGGGGGGCAGTCACTTGACATGCGTGGAAAGCTGGAATGTTCGAGTTTACTGTCTCGTCGAGAAGCCCAGCTCCAGTGAACCAGACGGCCGCCGCCGCCGGTGCCCCCCCCCTCCAACTAAGTGTTAGCATCGAAACAAACGTAGCCAAAAAGAGCTGACAGCACTTCGTAACTTAAGGACTCCTTGAGGCCAGCCGGCCAGGAGAGCAGCACTCGTGCCCGCAATGCCCCCTCCCTCCTCGTCCTAACTTGAATAAACCCAGCTTTTTTCCAGGCACTATTGTTTGCCAGACGGTTTGGGGCCGAATATTGTCAGTGGTATACGCTTGCATAGGAATTCCATTGATGCTGGTAGTTCTTGGAGATATCGGTGAATGGTTCCAGAAGATTCTCACGAAGACCTACATCTTTTTCCTGATCAAATGGAGGTTAGAACACTGCTTATTGACTTTGAGTGTTCATTCCGTCCATAGTCGATCTTCCGCAAATGCACGCACAGCTGCGACGCGGCACTCGCCAAATGATCGAATATGCATCAATTTGTTGTGTATCCACTCAACACGAGCACCTCACCGCAGCAGCTTACCCATTGCGGTTGATCGACTGAGTTCGGACTAGGCCATATTCAGCACTCCATTGAGAGCGATTCTGAAGTGCTTATTTGAGGAATTTTCGTAAACAAAAGCTCAGCACGCCATTGGACGAGATTTTCTTACCCATGTGGATTGCACTGCCGTTAGTGTTGATTTACATCGTCTCTTGCACCATGATTATTCATTGGTTCGATCATAACGAAGGAAATAAACCGGGTAAGCCTTTATTAGGTATCACACCTTTTCCCAGTATTTTTTAGTATTTTTTAAAAATTATTAACATCAAAGTTGTTGAGTTCGTGGGAGCCAAAGGGGAGCCGAATGATAGCCGACCTCAAAAATGTCTATTATACACGCTTAAAGGACGAATTCACGATGAAAAGCAACCCATTTCAAATTAACCTAGGGATGGTGAGTGGTACACGAAAGAAGGAAGAACCATGAGAAACGGCCCAGAACCCGAGAAATGGGACCCCTTCCTTGCCCGTTGATTTGAGCATTGATGCGACTCTCATCGCTGTGCCCTCTTCAACACTACGCTCTCTCAGCTATCTAATCACTCGCCACGTATTGAACTACGGCGAGTGATCAGATGATCGGTGGGCGGAGATCGCCGGACCCGCCAGCTTTGAGGCATGATAGGTCGCCGAGGTCAAATTTTTCCATGCGAATTGCGCGTCAGTTCGCACCCTCAGGAGGTCCGTGGGTCCCTCAACTAGGTCAGTTTCCCTTTCTTCGACCTTCATTCTAATCGTGAATTCCTCCTTTAAAAGTGGCTGGAGGGCGTTGCCGTTTATGGGTGTCATTTAAAGTCATTAGTGGGAGAGCGTTAAGAGATGCTTCCAGCTACACCTTCTAGCGCTACAGGAGCTTCTGAGTTCATGGTGAAAATCGTGTCGAGGACGTGGTCACATCAGTGCAATCCCCCCTCTCAGATCGTGGTCTTGATACGACCCCCTCTAACTTTGATCTGTGAAATAATTCGTTCCATCAATGTACGCAAAGCATTTCAGTTACAGCGCGGTTTATCCGTGGGTCAAATTTGCCGAGACCCTGCTCGAAACCATCAAGACCATCTATATCCTCGATGAAAGATTTCCATTCCCCCATTTCTAACCCTTGGAGCAGTATGTGGTAGGGTTAGATAGAGCTGGATTTGCTACTACCGGCAATATTGAAATTGATCTGAAAGCTTTACACTCGAAGAGATAGGGTCTCTCAAATTTTGTCGAGGCAGCGTCGAGGATGCTGAATTTTTCATGCGAGTTTTTGCCACTTAAAAGGCAATATCTCTCTAATTTCGTAGGATCTTGAAAAAAGAAGACAGTTTTGGAAAGCGGAAGGTTTGCGCTTTCTAACAGTCTGTTTAGCTTTCTTCTACATTTCTAGTTGAGGAGATATTTGCGTCGAGGATCTATCGAGGACGGATTTCGGCCACCTAAAAACCGCTCCCTTCTTCACCATTGCAAGTTAATTCGTTGGCAACGCTCGAAATGTGTCTAGAATAAATTCTCCAACATAAGCGACAAGAAAAGGGGCAATCGTCATCGTCCGATTCGTCTCAGTATAGGCCATGCATCCGACCTCCACTCAAGTTGTAGAATCTATTGAAAGGTGTTATACATATGATGATGACCTGTTGACAGAAACTGTATTGTAGTAAACACATTTCGTAACTCCTGTAACCTAGGAACAGCTTCATTTGCCCAGGGTCTTTCCAGAACTCACATATCCCTGTTTTCTGCTGCGCTATACCCTATCCCTCCTATCTGCACCACGATGCCACTGACGTTACTGACCCCCACGAGTACGACCCCCCATGACCCAGCCTGACAAATACGACCCCCTGTCGAGGATTTCCTCGACCGATATTCACCCTGGTTCTAGTCGTCTAATGACATTCACTGACGTCGTCAAAACCGCACCGCCCTCCAGCCATCATGATCACGTACTTGAGAAACACAATGGTTGTCTATAGGGAGGTTAATCTTTCTGGCATGCGCCAAGCGCTCGAGGTTCGCTTAATTCACTAAACGTTGGTCGATGTTTGGTCAGCATAAAAATTTGCAGGAACTGATCGGTGCTTTAGAAGAGTTTCTCTGGTTATGGGCGGAAGTGGTGTAGTGGCAAGTGGCACGCTTACCACGCGAGCGGTCCGGGGATCAAATCCTGGGTCGTGAGTCGCCCGGGCCAACCAAGCCTTCCATCCCTCCGGGGTCGGTTAATTGGTACCAGACTTGTCT